AATTAACAAACGGAGACGTAACAATATGTTTACTGATACAAAGAACTGTTTTATGTCAGATCAGGTTATTAGAACTGAAACTTGCGATTTATTGTGTTTACGTAATTGAATAATTTAAAGTTGAATTTACTGTACAAATGCTGCATTTTGTTAATTATATGTTTTAGAGTTATAATATTTTCAAAATAAACCGCAGTTGTTTGACTAACGTTACCCAAAAGTAATAAAAAATAGTTTCTTAAGATGATAAGATGAAGATCAAGACTTCTGTCAGTTCACACCTTTGTTTCTGTTGCATTTGCAGGCTGAGAAGTGAAACAAAAAATAAATCGGAGAGTGTGACCAAACTCATCAATAGGTTGTAATAAGTGTTACCGTTAAACCACACTTAAATATCATTTAGCTCTTCATCGTTCTGGAAACTCTTCTCTGACAAACTCGCCGAAAGGAACTAACGAAGAGTACGTGTGTGACGAAGCATAACAATTTTGTTAAGGCTCACCTGTTTGTGCTTCATAATTAAAACTCATCCACAAGTTTCACACTTGTTGTAAACATCCAAAAGAAAAGAACGAAATGGATTCAGGTATTTTGGTAAGAACACATACACGAGGTTTCCACTTTTACTAGAACGATGTTCTATTGTGCCAGTTTTTTAGCAGCAGACAGAAACAATATTTCCACTTCTACTAGAATGGTGTTCTGTTGAACTAAACTATTAGCAGAAAGCATAAACGATATTTCCACTTTTTTCTTGCATGGTATTCTGTTGTACTAGTCTGTTAGCAGCGAACACATTCGTGATTTCCTCTCTTACTAGCATGTGTTATGTTCAAACAGTCTGTTCGCAGAAAACATAAACAATATTTCCACTTTTTTTGCATGATATTCTGTTGAACTATTATGTTAGCAGAAAACATAAACGATATTTCCATTTTTTGGGGCATGATATTCTCTTGAACTATTACGTTAGCAACATACATAAACGATATTTCCATTTTTTTGGCATGATATTCTCTTGAACTATTATGTTAGCAGAAAACATAAACGATATTTCCATTTTTTGGGGCATGATATTCTCTTGAACTATTACGTTAGCAACATACATAAACGATATTCTTTTTTTTTGGTCATGATATTCTGTTGAACTATTATGTTAGCAGAAAACATAAACGATGTTTCCATTTTTTCTTGTATGATATTCTGTGAGCTATTCTATTAGCAACATACATAAACGATATTTCCACTTCTACTAGAATGTTATTCTGTTGAACTAGTCTGTTGGCAATAAACACAAATGTGAGTTCCAGTTTTACTAGTATGGTATTCTGTTGAGCTAGTCTGTTAGAAGTAAACGCAAATGTGATTTCCACTTATATATATTATTCTGTTGAGCTAGTCTGTTAGCAAAAAAACAGAAATTTAGCAACAAAAATATTTCCACTTGTGCCAGCAAGATGTTTCATTATACCTGATCTATCAACAACAACAAAAAAAACATAAACGAGGTTTCCATTTTTGCTAGCATTCAACACATTTAAACGTTCTTTATATAATAATTTATAATAAGATGAAATTCACCAAATGACCAGTAAGATCAGTAACTATGTCAACTATAAATATTGACCACCAAAACCTTAGTTACATAGTCATTTCTTCAAGGTAGTTCATCAAGCGACATCAGATTTTTGCATGAAGACAGCTCTGTAGAAGTGTAAAGTGTAAATTCCTGTCTCCATAAACCATGTTAACCGCGTGTTTGCAATGAATAACCATTAAAACTGTTGGAGTGTAAATTCCTGTCTCCATAAACCATGTTAACCGCATTTTTGCAATGAATAACCGTTAAAACTGTAGAAGTGTAAAGTGTAAATTCCCGTCTCTATAAACCACGTTAACCGCGCGTTTGCAATGAATAACCGTTAAAACTGTTGAAGTGTAAAGTGTAAATTCCTGTCTCCATAAACCATGTTAACCGCATTTTTGCA